CGAGGAACCGAGGAAGTTCGCGAGCAACGGAGAAGTTCGACAGTTTCGCGGATCGACGTTTCATCCGCGGCTATTTTCAGCGGTTCGTTTCGAACGGCGGTTTATGACAATTTCAGCACTTGTTGCTCCACAGTTCATGGACATTAATTTCGGAATTGACTCCGCCGAGCACGGCCTGTCGATTCGGAAGGGCGGGTAAACGAATGCGCTCACTTCATCGGCGCTCGAAGTTATTTTCCAGGGAATCGATTACGTTTTGCTCGGGCTTCTAGAGTCGACGGGAGCCGGAGGAACGGCCGAGCGAAAAAAGGACACTTTAAAAATGCTTTTAGAATCGACTTTCAGATGTCTGAATTCCTGGGGAAGTGAAATCCGATCAGAAGTCGGTGAAAGACGTTCTATCGTGTATTCAAAGTGAAATGAGATTTATATTCCAGCTTGAGATTTTTCTGTATTCACCGTAATCCTGATTTTTCATTGAAGCGAACTCTCGTTAAGTTCTTCTGAGTTGCTGCCGAGAACATTAGAGGTCGACGATCATAACTTTCGAACAGTAATTCGCTATTGTCTGAAATGCCGCGCTCGAATAATTGCACAGTATCGGAAAACCTTCGCAAAATCTTTCGAGAAACTTTACTGGATCCACAGCGAATCGTTGCTCAACGACACGAGCGCATTGTGGGAAGGAAAGAAGGACCGCTGGCAAATCCGGCGGAATTCGAGTCCAGCGATTCGCGAACTCCTCAGCGTGGATTTCGATGATTTTGGAACCGGTCCAACAGTTCAGCGAACGATACACAGATTCGCGCGCTGTCGGTTCCAGTCGGAATGGTAACGATAATTAGAGAATCCGCGAGCTAGCGAAAATCCCGAAGTCCCGCGGCGCGACCACCCTGCTGGAATTCTGATACCGTTATCGATCCTAATCTCCTTACGAGAGTATGTTGCACGCTGACACGAGCAGATGATTTACGAGGCCGGTCTCGGGTCAGACAACCGAGCCAGAGATTCTATTGTCCGCCTGATGCCGACTGCCCCTTTCCCCCGTCGCGCCTTTGCCCCTTTCCTCCGTCGCGCCCGCTGATACCAGATATTCGAATGGCTTATGTTCAATGCACCGTTGCACCGGCACGCGATTGCGTTCACGGATCCCGATCACCTTAGCTCATCGTGTAATGGATCTCGAGGAAAAGAGAATCCCCCGGGAATCGAATCCTAGCGCTGGAAAATGAGGTAACGTTCCATTCTCGTATCGCTAGGGAATTTTTCGACGATAAATTCTCCATTCACGATCCATCACGTTTCGGAACTCTCTTGGAATATTGTCTTTATACGCGTACACTGAAAAATAGTAGACGTATCGCTACACTTACGGAAAATAGAATTTTAACGGCAATATTTTCCGACCGAATTTCCGCGCTATTTAAATATTCGTTCGGTGGTATAACAATAAAAGTCGACCGACAAACGTGATATAACGAGAGACCAGCGAACAAGTCGAGGGGAATCAGATAAATCACGAGTTCACGGAGTTTTCACTTCGTCGGGGAAGAGAGGAAGTTCCAGCGGAATGGAAATTTTTATTGCTATTGGTCTTGCCCGTGAACGCTCGAAAAAGTTCTGCCCTTGTATATTGTTTTAATATAACGGCAGCTTAGGGCGGAACCTCGCTTCTTCGATTTTATTAAAGTTCCCGGAAACTTCGACCCCGGCAACCCCGGATTCCGGTTCGATCCGCGCGATAAAAAACATCGTTTCGCTCGCTTTTATCGGGCCGTGTCGAAGTTGCATAATCGCAGCGGCGAACGATTGTAAACGCGTCCGAGAGTAATTTCCCCCCGTCGTCGACGGTCCAATGGGAGTTGGAGACCGTGGCCCCGTTTTCGTTTACGTAAGCGCGAAAGTCGCGACTTTCACGGAGGAGGGGCGAGTTTATTTAGAAACACAGCTCGAAAAATCAGGCGCAACCTTTTAAAGGAACCGTGAGCCGTTACCGGTCGCGACATCAAATTTCTAACGCGACCAGCTTCGAATTCATGCGCGACACGCCCCGCGGGCTACCGGGCTTTCAGTGGGACGGACGCACTCGTCACCTTTATTATTTATTACGAATGAATTATTTATCGCCGCCGCACGTCGCTCGTCTCTCGAACCTTCCGCGGGATGCTTCCTTGCATCTCGCCGCTATAAATTTACCAGCGGATAAACTAGCTACAACTACCTCGAAGCGTTCGGCCTTGTCCACCGGTCAACATTTGTAATTAACTGGCGAGACGTCTTTAATTAACCAGGCTTGAAACGTCTATACCTCTCTCCGGTGGATGGATAACGAAACAGGATTCGTTGCGTTTCCACGGGAAACCTACTACCGGAATTAATTCCTCCGTATTCCCGACTGCTGCGAATTGAAGGAAGCGTGTCAAAGATAAGGCTGCGCGAGGTATATATCTCGTTGATCGACGAATTCATTTACCGAAGACGATACGACGACTGAAAGTAGGAACTTTTCAACAAGATTCAACGCTCGGTTCACTTAAAAATTAACACAAACCAGTTGTGGAAATAATTATTGTAGTAAATATTCCATTGAATTTGCTGTTTGCGTCATATGGAATTCGATGAGCTTGCATTCGACGTGAGTGCATGAAATTCCGTGATCCAGCTACGACGCAGTCTGTAGATTTTTTCCGCGAGAAGAAGGATGGTTTCCTGAAAGTTTTGGGAGGATCGGTAACCTAGTTCCTCCTCGTTAGTGGATGGCACTACACATGTAACCTGTTCTAACAAGGGAAGAAAAAAGTGGAAGATCGGCCACTGGAGATTTCCCTGGTTCGATGAGAAGGGAAGCCTCCCCATTTCTTGCCGGCACGAGGAAGGCTCCTTCATAAAGCTGGATGCCTTTTAGCTCCTCGGCTCACCCTCGGTCTTCCTCCCCGTCTCTGGCATTATTAACCCCCATTGTGCTTTGTTCCCGAACGTCGACAGAACTCGTAACACGGAGCCATCGCGTTCACCGTCGTCTCTGTCGTCGAGCGGAGCTAAGGAGTTCCGGCCACATGTTACGATCCAACTTACACGGAACGTCGAAGAAATGAGCGATCGCCGGCCGACAACTAGGCCAATTACGGGGGTGGGATCTCTACAACCAGTCGCTCCCCGGGAACGCTAAGCGCCTTCGATCAGAACCCGATCAGCTTTCGGATATTCTTCATCGTAACTATACGCCAATCCCGCAGAATTACCATAAACTGTTAGTGAGACGTTCAGTAAAATCATTGGGAAATTTCGATGAAAGATTTCGATAAAACTGGACAGCAATTTTCTCGTGTACTTGCGTATAACTTATCGTACACCCTGTATACTTTTACTGTAGAATGTGTGTACTTCATAGATGATTATTTTCTTAAGAAATATCATTTTGTAACCCTTAAGAACACGTACTGATAAAAAGAGACCGATTAAGTACCCACCAAAACGTATTAAAATTGTGTTAACTTTAAAGTTATGTAACAAAGGAACCGGTAAATATTTATTAATAAGACTAGGTTCGTTGGAAGCGGGGAAGCCTCACCATTAAAACGCAAGTCGCAGAATCTCGATACGACCATCCGTTCCGGAGATATCGCAAGTTGAAGCCAACCATAATTTTTAATTTTTCGCCTATACCTGCCTCACTGGCACACTCGGACCTCTCACTCGCGCTCATTCGCTGACCTACCGCACACGCGGGGCACGTGCGCCGTTCAACCGGTGATTCATGAAATTTTTACTATTACTATTACTATTAGCGTACGCATTTCCAAGAATTCGGGCTAGTCAATGGGGGTTGACGAGCCTCGCGCGGCAACTTCGCGCGTCGCGCTTTGAAGCCCTATATCTCGGGAACGGATTGAGATATCTTTATGCCGCTAAGTGCGTTGTAAAGGGCATGCTTCCGCCTACATTTAGAGAGCATTGGCATTAAAAAATTCGTACTCCTTCTACTTGTAATTTTCACCTGTAGGTAAAGTTCTTATATATACAAGTTGAAAAATATTTACACGGATTTGTTCGACTGTACAGTACCCGCACAAAGTTCACTTGTTCCCGCATAAAAGAAAACAACCGGAAGTCTCAGTCTTCTGAAGCAAAATTGACGCGATAACAACAAATAATCCAATCTGATCCCGAACGCGTAACAAAGCGTGTTATTTACACGGCCAATTTCGCAGTACGCGCATGTAGCAAATTGGAAATAAGCGTGCCATGCACTTTAGCTTACTTACCGTGAAACAGGAGGATTTTCATGTCGGCGGAGTTACTCGTTTGAAGGCGGCGCGGCGCTTCGAGTCTGCAGTATTACCGGAATTTCCACTGTCGAGTCCACTCCTACAGCAATTTTCATTATGTCGTGTCTGTTATTAGTATAGTTTCCGACGGTCGGAGCTCAGATACTAGAATTTCTCGGCGAGACATTCCGTAACCGTGTTTTCATTACGATATTTTCCCCTATAGGGGCCGCTGTAATTAGACCTTTACCTTCGATGCAGCGGCACTCGAGGCGTTGCGCGGCTCGAGTAATTCCTCTAACGGCACTATTTTCCTTTCAAACAATGAGTGGCCCGCGAGAGGAGAGGGCAGAAAGTCAGCATTAAACATTTAACAATTTGAGAGCTTGCGGAAAAGCTTTCTACGGCAGGCGTCGTGCCGCGCCGCGCCGCGCAGATTAAAATCAATTTGACGCCGGCGCTACAATGGCCCCCGGGTAAAACGGAGCAATAATATTCTCCGAGCGACGCGGGTTGAAAAGTGAAGAGCAAGCTCGAGTAAATAATCCCTGACCCGCGGACGATCGCGTTCGTCGGGGGCGAGGCTCGATGCCTCGAGGATTCCGGTGAAGGGTTGAAGGTGTCGTTAAAGACACCCCCCGGAACCCGCAGCGCATCGATCCGGCCACACCACTCACGCACACATCCTCCGAACACCGTTCCCCCACTAACGGATTATTCTGTTTATTACAGATAAACTCCCGATGGTCGCTCGGACCCGAGCTTTGCGACATGTGGACCAGCAGTGACGTTCTCTGCTGCACTGCCTCGATATTGCATCTGGTGGCTATCGCGGTCGACAGATATTGGGCAGTCACCGATCTCAATTATATACAGGTTAATTAACGCCGCGTCGCGGTCGACGGACAGAGGTGGCCGACACCCCGGAACCGAACGAATACACGAACTTACGTCACGATCGCGTGCCGGGCACCCCTTCGAGCACAACAGGACCAACTGCAACGGGATTAGGACACGCCGTAGACACGCTTCTATATATTGATCTCGGAATGCGGTTCGATAACCTGTCCCCGTTGTCCTGCTCCCTGTACCGCCGCGTAAGGAATCGGGGATTATTAAAGAGGAGGATGCAGTTAATCTGTCGCGTCTATCTAGCTCGTTTTCGCTCGCTTTTTATTCGCGAGTGGTTCGTAGAGTTCCGTGGAAAGCGTTTTGGGGATTGGGCAAACGAAGTAGTCGGCGCGAGTGCGATTCCATTAACTGAGAGACCATCTTGGAAATTGATTGCTTCTTGTGGAATTACGAGCGGTTTCGTGGATCAGCCAGAAGTAACAGCTCTTAGAAATGTTTGTTTCGTAGTTTTAAAAAGAACTGCTTCTTTCTTTTGCAACCTCCGACTATGCTAATTCCATAAATGAAATTCTTAGCTAATTTTATTGCGAGCGAAGCTTCGGGTCTGCAAAGTATTCTACTATTCACCTTATTTTTAACTTATTAATTTCCTCTGGCTCGCTTCCCTTTCATCCTCCTTCCTCGACGTTCTCTTTAGTCTCTTTACGTTCCCACCTAGTTCGCAATCTTTATTCAAAACTTCGTCAGCGGAGAATATAAAGAGAGCTCAAAAAGGAAGAGTACATTATCGCGTGTAAAAGGAGCGAAGGATTATAACGCTCGGCACTCTGACTAATTGAAAGACCAAAGACCACTTTGAAGGTCGAAGATAAATCATTCTCGGACACCTGTTCAAATCAATTTCGCCGAACAGTTCGCGCCGCTGTTCGGGCGAGGATCCATAAACCTGGAAACCGGAATTCGTACATATTTAACAGCTCGATTTCGCGCGAAGCTGTTCGCGACCGTCTCCCGATTTCCGTCTAACGATCGATCGGGTATCGTATCAATGACAGCTGATGTTAAATCGAATCTAAATCCCAGGCATATCCCGGTACCGGTACCCGCATGTTCGGGATAGTTCCCAGCCTGGGATTTCGAACGGTAGGATTACGATGATATCCTTGTAGTTCGGGGAGCCGGCCATCTCGAACGAGCAACTAGCTATATTGAAATAGTTCCGGCGGGAGGAACGGAACACATTCGTAATTGCGATCGACTGAGATCCTCTTGGCCTGTCGGCCTCGCGTAAAATTGGATTCTTCTTCGTGCGGGGGTTTCAATAAACGGCGCCCCTTCGACAATCGTCCGGCACGGATTTCCCACGCAAGCATATTCTCGCGTATTATTTTAACGGTTAAACATCCCCGGATATTCGGACACGATCAACGCCATTCCCCGGTAGAACGGACATTTTCGAAATAATGAAAAAGAGAATAGATGGTGCTGGTAAGGCTTCGATTCCTGGGTTCGATAGCGGTTCTAGGAATGCTCTTCACTTCCAGGCGAGGAATCCGAGGCGGATCGGTATCCTGATTATCACCGTCTGGGTGGTGTCCTTAGGAATCTCGCTGGCTCCCCAGCTAGGCTGGAAAGATCCTGGTTATTTGAACCGTATATCGGATGGGACATGTCTGGTGTCGCAGGATCCCGCATACCAGGTGCGTACATCACCGCCGCGTCAGATTGGAATTAATATTACATTGAGATTCAAGCCTCGGAAGGCGAGCACGCCTCGTGACTTCGAAGACGGCGACGTTTGAATCGAATCAGAACCCTATTTACTAGTTTCCCAGGAAATATATTCCAGAGTGCCTCTCCGAGACTCGCGGCAGACTCTGCGGCGGAGCTGATAGAAATTAATTGCTTAAGTTGGCTGATAGAAAATGGGATACTCGATTTAATGAACGATTGAAACGTCGAGTTTCGATCGGGCGTATTTCACCGAGGGTTCACGCGATAAAGTGAAAACGAAATTGAAATATTTTACGGCGGGGTCGATGTAACGTTTCTTGAAATACTTCACAGATCTTCGCCACTTGCGCCACTTTCTACGTTCCCCTGCTCGTCATTCTATTCCTGTACTGGAGGATATTCCAAGCGGCACGAAAGCGAATCCGAAAGAGACCGGGTACCATCGTGCAGCCGCCCCGCGAGAGAAGAGGCATCCTCAGACTCGTCACGAGAAGGTCCTCTCTCCCTTACAGCCGTAATAGACGCACTTTACGAGGCTCGTTGGCGGAAAACCTTAATCTAACCTCATTCTTTCATAATTCCCGAGACGAGCCTTGCAGAAAATGCCTTGGGAAAATCGTTTGATTATCCCGAGATCGTAGATTGCCCCTCTGCTCTTTAAGCATCTCGAGCAAAAATGCTAAATAATCTACAGTAATTTTCCATTTACAAAGTCTCGAGAAAAATAATGAATTTACATTGCTCTAATCGAAATTTTACTTTAAATCTGAAATTTGTATCTTTCCAGGCCAAGAGAGGAGTCGACAGCGTTCACCATAACAAGATCGACGCCGGACCACTCGTCGATCTCGCCGGAGAAATCTTCGTCCAACAACGGCGCGAACGCGACGCAATCCGCGACGGTGACGCCGTCGACGGTATCCACGACGACGACGACCACAACGACCACGGTGACGAACCCGTCGACCAGCCACTCGACGTCCAGCAGAAGGACACGCGAGACGATGGAGTCGAAACGCGAGAGGAAAGCCGCGAAGACGCTCGCGATAATAACCGGCGCGTTCGTCGCCTGTTGGCTGCCTTTCTTCTTGGTCACGTTGCTGCGAGCGACGTGCCAGGCCTGCGAGCCGCCCGAGCTCATAGCCAGCGTGTTTCTATGGCTGGGATACTTCAACAGCACCCTGAACCCCGTCATCTACACGGTGTTCTCGCCGGAATTCAGACAGGCGTTCAAGAGGATGCTGTGCGGCAGTTCCAGGATAATTCGCTGACAGTGGATTTAAGGACTGTGAGAGAGCGTATGCATGGACGCGAGTATGTGTGCGAGGACGAGAGAGTGTTAGACGATGAGCGAGTCCTGTGTATATACAGTTACACTACTTCCTTCTCCTTCGGATAGCGTTCAACTACCGTGTCACGTACTTAGGCATGCCTTAGAGAGTCCGTAGACATTTTTCCTTGAAAGTTGCCGACGAGGCGACAGGGTTCGCGGCGACCTCGCGATGGAAACCTAAACTGAGAGCCTCTTGCACGACAAAATGTCAATTCACGATGACGGTTAATTTATTTTGCGATTGTACGAGGTGCGTAGAATATACGAATTGTGATTCATTAATGTAATCGGTTGAACATTCCAACGTTAGACGATCTGGGTTTGGTTCGATGAGATTGCGAGTTTCTATTTTATCGCGGAAGAGACTCTACGGAGGTTTATATATAACCGAGTTACCGTTTACGCGGGATTTCTGCTTAACGGGACTCGTCGAGCTCGTTGTGAACCAATTTTTCAATGCTCGACACCTCGACGGCTATTCAACGCCTCGAGGCGACTGTTTCTATGATAGAACTACCCTATGAAAGTTCTCTTTGAGATAGATGCATTCTCTGATACGTCTATGATAATATTAACCACTGGATGTATTGGCGAGTAATCTACGTTGTTCCGTGAGATCGTTTTGATATTGTTATCGAGGAAAAGAAGAAGACTGCGTTGATATTTGAGAGAACACTCGCGAGATTTGTATTTCCTTAGGGAGCTTTTCAGTTGATTAGATGATAATCGAACGTTTGTAAATTGAATTGTAAGTAGACTGCGAATATTCAGAAGAGATCCCGTTTATATTGCAGTTTGTATTCTATTGATTTTTACTTACAATTAACCGTCGCAGTCTAGTTATAACGAACACGTGAGAAACATTGTAAATTTCATGTACTTTAATTTAATAAAGACTATTGCGGATTACTCGTTAGTACACGAACACGTTCAGTTGAAACTCGAATTCAGACGCAGGCTGTACCGAGCGGAAATGATCGGTCTCGCGACTGCTTCACCCTCTCGTGACACGATCCACATGTATCCACACGCGGAATTACGTACAGACGCGTAACCACACATTCATTTCCTCCGTTGATGTTCGCGAGACGATCGAGAGTTCGATGATTAATAATAGAAATTAGACGTCAGCGAGGATAACGTCGATCCTTCTTCGTCGAAAGTAGCGCTCATCGATTTCACGCGGGTCTTGGCGACGTTTTGCTCCCCTAGTCAAGAGGACAGCCATTTCATTGTAAATAATCTATCATTCAGGTAGTAAGAACTGCCGAAGTTCGCGAGAGCTCGCGTGCATGGGCGTCGTTATCAAATTCTGTATCGATTCGACGGAACAAACGACGAGAATGCGCTTCGATTCGACTTGTCCTCGGAGAGTCCACGTTTCGATGCACTGAAAACAATCGGAGCAAACATTTTCCATCGCGCTCGAGTCTGATAATCGTGTATTTTATCTGTCGGAACGCCCATACTCAATTAAAGAAGAATCAAATTGAATTTCAAGTGATTTATTCATAAATATGATTAAACTTGCGTTACGCGAGGTACCATTTATTTAATTTATTCGTTCAATGGGCATGGAAGTGCTCTCTTTTCCGTTTAAACGAAATAATTACGGATGAATGGTAGGTTCTCTCTGATTAAGAGATTAATATTTATCAAAAGAGACGTGGAACGTGAATTCTTCGGGCAGCAACGGTTTGCATTTTTCGAGAGATCGACGAATAGTTGCCCGGTTCCTCTTTAATCCACGGAATTCGATAGTTAACACTACAAGGTTGTACGATAGAGAGGAAACGTTCCTTTCATCGCGCGGTCGAAGTCGCTCGGCGGGACAAAGCGTTGCCAAAACGTCGCGCGTCGCAGCGAGTAGAAAAGTCAGGCCCATCGACGTCGTTTGTAAATTAACCAGATGATTGTGTATCGACGATCGTCCGATAACGCCTTACTATATACGACATACATCCTGTACTACCCGAATAGTCACGCGAGTTTCGCCGTTTTACCAGCTAAACCATCTTCGACGACGCAGCGAAAACGGAGTTGAAGAGAATCAAATAAACTAAACCGAAAGAAAAAGCGAAAAAAAAGGATAAGCCAGAGACGCGATAAAAGTAAATACTAAATGACAGTAGCACGACGGTTACCCGTTGCCCAGCGATTCACTTAGTTTAAGGCTGTGCCCCGATTTTCGATGATGCAATATTTAAAAAGGGAGAAAGCGGAGCGGCGAC